CTGACCTCAAACGAACCGTACCTCATCTCAAAACTCTGTGTTTTATTAAAAACTGTAACTACAATTACAACCGGGTACGGCGAAGTATAGCTTGAAGCTTTGCCGATTAATTTTGATAAATGTGTTACAAAATAAACTCTAGTTAAAAAACAAAGCTTATCATTTGCTTTAATTTGCCATGATAATTACCTTTTAATCGTGAATCTTGTTTTGATAAAGTGAATGCGTATTTAACTGCGGCCATTTTCTATAGGGGCCTACAATACTAAATTTGCATAAAAGTTTTTTATGATTATTTTTGCGAAATTACATCTCAAACATGAGTGCACACACTTTTTTCAAAGACAAGTGCTTGCCTCGACTGTGTACAAAATAGCCCCTTCTGAAACATATAGTGCCCTTCTGCAACAATACACGACATTCATATTAAAAAAAAAATAACCAATTAGATCTAATAGTAGCCCTATACCATTTAATAAATAAATGCATCCCCATGCAGCCCCGATTAACAGTGTAACCAGGGAACTCACATACCCTGGTGTAACCCCTCAACCCCCCCCCCCCCCCCGAATACATTCGAAAAAGAAAAAAATCCCTCTCTCTTCTTATGTCCATGGTTTATTATATGCCCAGTAGTACTAGCTCTATGCATGGAAAATCAGAAGCCTTTTCAGTTTTTGCTTTCTTTTGATATAGGCACTGATCGAATTGTCTTCGATAGACGTTATCATACTGTATAAAATATTATAATGATGACGTACCGTTAGCCTATCCAAACATTGGCCCTTCTCGAAAATGTTTAATACCTATTCAAGTTGACCGATCCTAGCTAATTCAGTTGACATACAATGTCCCTCTGAACCTGTCAGGTTCATACATAGGCGCCAGAAGTGGGTGGGTGGGGGCAAGGGGCACTCTTTACCCCCCCCCCCCCCCCCCCGAAAAAAATCAGCAGTAAGGAGTAATATGGTTTGGATTTTTTTTTTGTATCCCAAAATAAATCGCAACGCCTCAGCCAGCCGCTGAATAAGCGGGGGGGGGGGGGGGCGAGGGGTAAGAGGACACTTTTTGTTGGGGGGGGGGGTCAGTGGGGGGGGGGGGGGGGGTAAGGTCACCTTTTTTAGGTCAGCCATTGGCATAATTTTTTTTTTTTTAAATACACACATTATACAAAAAACTAAAGGGAGGGGTTTAACCCGCTCCCCCCCCCCCCCCCTTGCGTACGCGCCTGCTCCCAAATAAAATTCAAACCTGGTTTATTTCTAATTCGATACCAGTGATTTACAAATGTTGCTGAAATGACATGATTTTTAGCGATCTTTTGGTAAATATATGCTTATTTAGAAGCATTCACGTCGATCTGCAGCCTGCAGAACGGCGGAGCTCGGGGGCTTGAGCCCCCCCCCCCCTCATTTTTTATAAAAAGTTAAAGACAAAAAGAAAGAAATAGAGAAAGAAAGAATGGGTGACCTGCCAGTGTCATTAATGAGGTATCAAAATCTGCTCATCTGACCGTAATTAAAATACCTAAAACCCCTGAGCATCCGGGAGCTTTGTCTCCTGGACCGTCACAAAGGGCCCTATAAGGCGGGCCGTGGATGCTCATAAGACCGTAATTCAATACCTTAAAACCCCTGAGCTTCATAGGGACTGGAAAAGATTTAACCTAACAGACAAAATTAATATGGCGTTCCACTCAAACTGTTAACACCGTATACACAACACAGACCGATGCGAGACCGACGGGAGACCGACAATTTGGAGAGGAGAAAAAGTTCCCACGAATTGTCAAGAATTGGTATGGAGTTTATCGATGCCTCCTTTTCCCATCCAAATTAATGTGTCCTTTGTGGCATATATCTCCTTCCTTGGAAAATATAGGACTTTGTCAAAATTCATCATTCATCATCAAATATATCTGTTTTTGTCTTTGTTCGTTGTTGTTTCTTGTTTATGGTATTCGTCTATATGTCGATTTGTTTGTTTCTTTGGGGTTTGTTTATTCGGTGTGTTAGTTGATTGTTAACTCTTTTTGTTTGTTTACTTTGTTCACCTAGAGGTTCTTTCAGTTGTGCTTGGCTTACTGTTCTCGTTGGCATGCACTGCACTGGTGTAAGTAATATAAATTCATTATAGATTATGGGCCATAAACACATTTATACTTTGCATGTTCGATAATTTTTCACAAATTTTTAAAAATTGAAATTTAGTTTCCACCAAGATTTTTGTCGATGCCTCCTTTTCCCATCCAAAATAATGTGTCCTTTGTGGCATATCCCCTTCCTTGGAATATGTCCTGCATGCCGCCCCTGACAATTCTCTCTGTCAATCAAACTTTGCGATTTTGAATGAACAAGCACTTACCAATATCGGTTTCACTTTATACAAAAGCGCTTGATTTATTAAACAACAAAAATCAAAAGTGATGCAATTGCAGAAAATAAAATGCGGAAACTCAAACAAAGGGAACAAAAATCAAAAGCTGCTTGCCACTTAATGCTAATTAATGATCAGGGACTGTGATTGAAAGGGGATTTGATTCTTTTTCTTTTAATGAAGTCTCTCTCTCTCTCTCTCTCTCACACACACACACACACACTCTCTCTCTCTTTCTATTTCTCTTTCATAATTATCCGCCGGTTCGCTTTCTCTGTTTTTGTATTCGGTGCTTATAAAGCCAACTTGCTTTAGGAAGATAGCCATAAGCCCATATCAGCTAGGAGCTAATAGAATCGCACAACGGCGATACATTTCGACTCATTTGCTTCTCGAGAAAAAAAAGCGATATTTGTGACAATGGTTCGATTTATTTCGACATTAGTTCTGTGTGTCGTCTACTTGGCAGTTACTCATACAGCCCTTATCAGAAACAAGAGACAAAGTCGATGGCCATCATGTAAGGTTTATCAATTTTTCAATTTTTCTTTGTTATAGTTTTATATTGGTTAAAATTCTCATGATTCTCATGATTATTGTTTGTTACAAATCGGGACAAGCCTTTGGCCTTTCCTGCCCCCCCCCCCGACAAATTGATTTTTCTTGTATTTATTAAATGTGCACTCTCAAATTTTACATCATCATTAGAATGTACAAAAAAAAATTCTCATGTTTTCTTTTTTCAAGCAGAATTGGTTACTCATATACCTAAAATTGTATGTTTATTACTGTAATGTGAATATTTTCATCAGATAAGTAAATATATGAATTAAAATTTGAATTGAATTTCTCTCTTTTCCTCCTCCTCATTCCTCTCGTTGCTTTTAACGTTTGTGTCAGAAGTGCTGAAAATAGAATTAGGGGAGAATTGAAGTTTTCTTTGTTTTGTCATGGAGCAGACTTATTTTTGCCAACAAATTGAACAGGGTTAATAACAAGCTCACTTTAGTATAGACAGGACGTTAACTGTGTTTGTAAAATATCTCCTACCTGTCCGAGTCCCTCTCAATCTTTAAAATAAAATCGACCATAGGAGGTGCCATCCAGGCAACCCTAGGCCTATTTTTATTTAAATGGACTTTTATAAAAAAATAAATAAAAAATAAAAAACTTCCAACTAATCAGCGTATATTTAGGTTTTTTTTTAGTTTGTTCAATGAAGAATTTAACTTATACAAGCGTAACAGCGTTGGGAAAAGGTACACAAACCGATAACGGTTTATTCTTTTCTTTTCTTTTCTTTTTTCGTCGGCTGCCTGTAAGAAGACCTGTCAATTTCCTCAGTAACGGCCTCTTTTTTTCTTCTTTTTTTTTTTAGCTCCCTATCAGCCTGATCACTATGGTCGCTGTGGAGAGCCGACCATGCCCATTCCTCACGGGGGCATCGCACTTTTCCATAAAAATTTATGGAAAACTCGATGTACTAGCCACAGTAGGTCTACTGTGGAGTGTGAACCCATGTTCTACTGCGATGAGAGGTACACAGTCAACGGCGATTTTCATCTCGAATGCCTGGAGAACAACGCAACCTATTCATGGTTTGGGTCCATACCAACCTGTATTCGTGATGATCCTCCTTCCCTTTCTGATGACCCATCGGCCACCATCAAAGACTCATTCAGTATGTATGACCGTCTTCTTGTTATAGGAGCTGTTTAATAAGCTACAATAATTTTAGGAGTCATTTCAGACTCGTGTATTAGTGTAAATCCACTCTTTAAGGAGTTAAAAATAGATTCGTTTCGGGAATGTACATCATCCGCTTTTTTAGTATAGTTATTAAAGATTCGTCTTGGATGTAAATCCATTCTTTGAGGAATCATTGTAGACCCATTTTGGAGTACTAAAAATCCACTCTTTGAGGATTCGTTTTAGACTCATTTCGGAGTATAAATTACTCTTTGAGGAGTCGTTTATTCGTTTTAGACTTGTTTTTGAGCGTACATCCACTCTTTGAAGAGTCATTGACTCATTTTGGAGTATAAATCCACTCTTTGAAGAGTCATTGACTCATTTTGGAGTATAAATCCACTCTTTAAGGAGTCGTTTATTTGTTTTAGACTCGTTTTTGAGCGTAAATCCACTCTTTGAAGAGTCATTATAGACTCATTTTCGAGTATAAATCCACTCTTTGAGGATTCGTTTTAGATTTGTTTTGGAGTGTAAATCCACGCATGCCGACAAAATACAGACTATTTTCTAAAAGAGTGAATTGTGATTTAACTCCAAACGAAAGTTATCCCTATATAATAGTTTGACTCCCAATTTTGCAGTATGGTTGCCTAGAGTGGGTCAAGCCATCTAAAGGGCACCGATCTAATCATAAAGGCTATTTATTCAATTATTTGTTTATCTACATGTAGTTAAAGTATTCAATTCGCATATTAGAAATAGTGGTAATTTATTCATTATGATTATTTTGGTCTTTCATGAAGCCATATGGACAGTGGTATATATCAATTAAGTTATAAGTAGAACTATGAATTATATCAAACAATGTACAGTTTACAAATTCAATGACAATGCTATCACTACAAGTACAAACTAGATCAGAGCAACTGAACGCATACTAGTACGCATACAGGTTAAAGAATGCTGTATTTGCACAAGAAACTAACCGGAAATAAGAACCTCAACATAATAGAGTAATAGAAAATACTGAGAGAGAAAATGATAAATGGTGCGAATTAAATTCCATTGACTATAGGGAATAGTGCTGGATGGAGAGTGAAATAGGCCCTTTTACACCCGTTCCCTTCTAACTTCACCATTCATGGAGAGGAGGAGGGGCAATTAATGCCCCGCGATCCTGCCCCCCCCCCCCACGTAGGCCTCTACTGGCTACGAGAACATGACTGTGTAACAAGGTTTTGTCACTGCCCTGATGAGATTGATAACATACCACTGAGCAACGAATTATTAGGAGCTAAATATCTGTATGGATGATAATTATGTTGAGAACATACAACTACAAATAATGATTTTTAAATGTATAAGCCTACACGTACATGTATTTAGATCTTATCACTGGTATATAGGACTTTGTCAAAATTCATCAATCATCATCAAATATATAATAATAATAATACACCCACAACAAAAAGTGAGTCATTTGACACATTTAAGCATAATTTTCGTGAGTCAGGTGTAAATTGACTCATTAGTAACAACCAATGAGTCTCTATTGACTCATTTATATTTCACCAGTGTGTCAATCATGAGCTGACGCATTTGCAAAATGCTTCGACTGACTCACATGGTCGTAAAAAATGAGTCAAGATCGACATAAGAGCATTTTAGAAGAAAAAAGTGAGTCAACTTGAAAGTGAGGCTGTATGCATGCGCGCGCATGCTTTCGTTACGTCATCCAAAATGCGCATTCTCGAGCCATATTTGAATTCCCGATCGACGACGCGACGTCGCCATCTTATATCTTGGATTCAGAAGAGTTTTGACTGCAGCTAGTGAAAAATTAGTACGCATAATTAGTCATATGGTTTTAAACGATGCTTTTTATGACTGGATTCGTGGGCTTATTATACAAATGATGCATGCGTTCATTTTATATCCGCACTCGAGTTGATGAGGCTGTGTGTAACTTAACTATCACTATGAAAATGACTGACAATGAGAGCGGACAAAATATACAGTTCCTCAGGTAGACAAAGGAACATCCCTTCACTGCCAGGTGCGGATCCAGGGGGGGGGGGGGGCCGAGCGGGCCTTGCCCCCCCCCCCCCGCAAAAAAAAAAAAAAAAGGAGAGAAAAAAGGAAAAGAAGCGAAAGGGAAAGAGGAGAGAAAGGGAAAGAAAGAAGAGGAAGAAGAAAAGAAAAGGGGGAAGAAGGAGATCGGGGGCCGAAAGGGCTTTGCCTCCCAGGCTGTTGACCCCCCCCCCCCCCCCCCCCATATAACAAATAAGAGAGAAGGAAGGAAAGGGAAAGGAAAAGAGGAGATACTGGCGTACTGATAGGGGGGGGGGGGCTAAGTGGAAATCAAATTCAAACGTGGTTTATTTCTAATTCCATAACGGTGGATTACAAATAATGCTAAAATGACATCATTTCCGAGATTTTTCCTCACTTTTTAGTAAATTATAAGTTTGTATGTGTTTGTTGGAAAATGACAAATTCCTAAATTTGCAGCCAGGCAAGAAATATGATTCTTGAGATTCCTACATGTCAGGGCCCGAGGTACGGCGGGGATCGGGAGCCCCGAGCTCTCCCCCCCCCCCCCCCACACTTTTTTTGAAAAATTGTATTAAAGAGAAATAAAATAGAATGAGAGCACGAAAGAAAGAATAGTTAACTGCCAGTGTTAACAAATAATGAGGCATCAAAATATGCTCATCTGACCGTGATTAAATGCCTAAAACCCCTAAGCTTCCGTGGGCTCTGCCCCCTGGATCCCACCAAAGGCCCTACGACGGGCCCTTAGATGCTCATCTGACGGTAATTTAATGCCTAAAACCCCTGATTTCGGGGGGCTCCGCCCCTTGGACCCAACGCCAAATAGTTACCTGCCAGTGTCACGAAATAATAAGGTATACAATAAAAAAATATGCTCATATGACCTTAATTAAACGCCTAAAACCTCTGAGCTTCCGGGGCCGGCTTCGCCGCCGCCCCAGACAAGGATTAACAATCGAGAACGGTACAGCGAATCGTCTTCTTTCTCTCATAATCTTATGAAACGTGAAGCTTCCGCGCATTGCGCGGGAGGGGTTACCTGAATTCAGACAAGGATTCAGAGGCGAGAACGGTAATACCAATCTTTTATGATTTAATAAAACGTAACAGCTTCCGCACTTCGTGCGGGATGGAGGGGGGGGGGGAAACTTAATTCCGACAAGGATTATTTTCGAGAGCGGTACAACGAATCGTCTTCTTTCTCTAATGATTTAATGAAAATTAAAAGCTTCCGCGCTTTGCGCGGGAGGGAGGAACCTGAATTCAGACGAGGATTTAAAGTCGAGAACTGTACAACGAATCGTTTTGTTTCTCTAATGATTTAATGAAACGTAAAAGCTTCCGCGCTTCGCGCGGGAAGGGGCAGAATCTAAATTCAGACGAGGATTATTTTCGAAAACGGTACAACGAATCGTCTTTTTTCTCTAATGATTTAAGGAAACTTAAAAGGGGGGAACCTGAATTCAGACGAGAACTTAGAGTCGAGAACTCTACAACGAATCGTCTTCTTTCTCTAATAATTTAATAAATCCTAAAATTTTCCGCGCTTCGCGCGAGAGGGGAAAACTAAATTCAGACGAGAATTATTTTCGAGAACTGTACAACGAATCGTTTTGTTTCACTAATGATTTAATGAAACGTAAAAGCTTCCGCGCTTCGCGCGGGAGGGGGGAGAATCTAAATTCAGACGAGGATTATTTTCTAAAACGGTACAACGAATCGTCTTTTTTTTATGATGATTTAAGGAAACTTAAAAGCTTCCACGCTTCGCGCAGGAGGGAAGGGGGTAAACTAAATTATGACGAGGATTAAGAGTCGAGAACTGTACAACGAATCGTCTTGTTTCTATAATGATTTAATGAAACGTAAAAGCTTCCGCGCTTCGCGCGGGAGGGGGCAGAATCTAAATTCAGACGAGGATTATTTTCGAAAACGGTACAACGAATCGTCTTTTTTTTATGATGATTTAAGGAAACTTAAAAACTTAAAAAACGTGTGAGTCACTATGACTCGATACAAACTCATTTGTATCGAGTCATAGTGACTCACACGATCCTTCAAGTGTTTCACTGTACGGACAAACCAGTGACTCATCAATTTGAGTAAGGGTGACTCACTTTTTGTTGTGGGTGTAATAATAATAATACATTTATAAGGCGCCAAATCCACTTGACAGTCAAATGCTCAAGGCGCAGCTTGTGCAAGAGATGAAATACATACATGATACATTTATACAAAGTGCGATAGGATATATCTGTTTTTGTCTTTGTTCGTTGTTGTTGTTTGTTCATGGTAATCGTCTATATGTCGATTTGTTTGTTTATTTTGGGTTTGTATTTTTGGTTTGTTGGTTGATTGTTAATTTTGTTTGTTTGTTTACTTTGTTCACCTAGAGGTTCTTTCAGTTGTGCTTGGATTACTGTTCTCGTTGACATGCACTGCACTGGTGTAAGTAATATGAATTGATTATTTAAAGGTACTATGTCCCTTTTGCAGCCAACTCAAATTTTGTAGAACTTTACAGGAATTATGAATATGTCATGTATGTCCTATCTGTGAAATTTAAACGTTAGCAGTGTCCTCATATTCAAATTATGCAAGGAAACCCGTTTACTTGCTAGACTTCACTGTCATACACTATTGAGTGACTGACTGGCTTTTTCTTCTTCTTTGGAAATAACATACATGAAAAGAGTTGTAAAGGGTACATGAGCATTTGTCTACATCAATAACCCACTTCTTGTGATGGCCAAGATTAAACTGATTGAATCTTTGCGCATCATAAAACGTATGACCATTCGGTACAATTGTCTGAAAATCAAAACTATTAATTTTGGGCTCTATAGCCCTAAAGTCGATTTGACAACTAATAGTCGTTATTTTCCCACTTGAAGACATTTTCAAGCCCCACCTTTTTTAGGGAAGTTCTAAATTAGTATTATCTTTCAAATGCAGTTGGAATTTAACTTTTTCATTTTTTTGGCCTGCAAATGGGACATAGTACCTTTAAATCAATAATTCATTATTAATTATGGGCCATATACACATTTATAATTTGCATGTTAGACAAATTGTCACCAATTTTTTTCAAAATTGGAATTTAGCGTTCCTTATTCGGAAGGCTCATAATATATTCTGCACTTTTATTTTTAGAATAATGAACGATATACATGTACCATGTTTTGGGATTTAGAACCTTTAAAAACGAATCTTTAGAATATCAAACTATCGGAGTAATGAAACTCCGAAGTAATGTGACAAAATTAATGTTTAAAATCATGACACACTTGGTATGGGCACTTCTGTTATTTTTATTATTTATTAATTTTTTCCTTTTAATTGTCAACCTTCTGAAAAACAAATGCCCCCGATCCTATAGATACCAGCAAGCAACTGTTTGGTGCCAGATATACTCTCTTGCCAAACAGTTTCATATCATCATATCTATATATATGTATTTTTCTTTTAACAGTTTTTACTGCATGCATGTATCTTTCAAGTGGAAGAGAATTGTTTTCCAGAAGAAAGTGTCGGTTTCGTTTAGTGTTTTGAGATTTTTTGTATTCTTTTAGTTTTTCAGATGAATAGTTTTGCTTTTCATTCCCTTTTTTAAAAATATATATAGACAGAGCAGGTTCATGTAGTCACACGCAAATATCAAAACTATATATTTTAAACACGACGGCCCGGCGTGTCCGAAAATCGGGGGAACAGATTCGACACCCCACCCTTCCCTCTTTAAACTGTTGTAACTCCACAGACTGTGCACATACACAATTACGTTACGGGGAAAATATGATTTATTTGATCAGTTGTTATTTTCTATTTATCATACGGATCAAAATATAGAGCGGCGAAAAGAGGAAAACGTGCAGCCCAGATACCTCCCACTTGCGTTGCCAAAGCAGCAGCTGTCCCTACGTCTTCCAAGACCGATCATGATGAGAGATCACAATGTAGGCGTGACACAACTTAGTTTTCTATTTTATCCCTTTTTCTTAATATTTATTACGCCCTCATAATCGGTTCACTCACAAACACACACACACAAATTTAGGTTAGTGTTGGCTTATATATAAGAGAGAAAGGGAGAACGAGAGAGAGAAAGAGAGAGAGAAGGAGGAGCAAGATACTTTTCTACTGAACGAAAAATTATGACAGATTTGGGGGCCTCAACAAGTTGGAATAGAAGTATATGCCCCCCCCCCCCCCCATTTTTTTTTTTTTTTTTTTTTTTTTTTTTTTTTTTTTTTTTTTTTTTTTAAGTGTATCTGCACATTTAAAGGGGAATTAATCTCAAAGTCAATGGAACCATTTGGCAATTGGTTTCAACTGGTTTCATTTGGAACCAGTTTTTCCAATTTCCCTATTGAAACCAGTTGGCAACTGGTTTCAATTGGTTTTGCTCCAATTGGTTTCAACTGGATTTTGGTCCTAGCTTTGTCATGATAATGCTTCATAGTCATCCCCTGAGATTTGATTTGATTTGTGTGTTTTTTTTGTGTCCAATAAATACTTGCTTAGAGGTACGTATTTCTGGGCCAATCTTGCATCTCATCATAATCCTAGTAGACTGCAAAATAAATGATGCTTTTTTTTTAAAGTGTTCAGTGTTTCTTTTGCTCATCGTTAAACATTTTGTTTCCTTCTTCATATTTTGTATCGAATAATCCCGTCCCGACTTTGCCCCCCCCCCCCTTTCACCTCTACTTCTGTCTATTTCTCTCTCTCTCTCTCATTATCCCTCTCTCTCTCTCTCTCCTCTCTGTACAGATTCTCGAGTATGAACTGATTCCGTTCCAGCCCTAGCTGATCAGTCTTGCAGCAATTTGGAGAGAAAACGGCATATGTCGGCAAAACGGTTATTGAAATGATTTCATAAATCCAGATTAAAACAAACTGCACCCTGATACGTACGAATTACTTGTGTATTAAATATGATGATGATTAATTTTGATAATAATAACAATGATGATATTAATATACCAATAACGATAATGAGACTACTATTACTTCTACTACTACTACTACTACTACTTCTACTTCTACTACTACTTCTTATTATTATTATTCTTCTACTGCTACTTCTTCTAAATCAGAATATTCAAAATTGAACTATGGGCGGCAACAAAAGTAACACCATCTTTTAACTTGATGAGCTCTTTTATAGACATTATGCTTTGATAATGATACGCCCAAAATAGTGGAATATAGAAGTCCGTTATTTTAGTTATTTTATTTGATCTAATGTTATTATAAAGCCACTATATTCTTCGCTAAAACTTAATATATTATGTCATAGTATTATCATGAGAAATACATCCAATACAAGCCTCTTATCATTTCATGTATTGTATTCCCCCAAAGCCTGTGGCATTCGGTCTTCTTTGTCGGTGAACATACGGCTCGGTGTAAAAATGTCAGAGGTAAAAATGTCAGAGGTAAAAATGTCAGAGGTAAAAATGTCAGAGGTAAAAATGTCAGAGGTTAAAAATGTCAGAGGAAAAAATGTCAGAGGTAAAAATGTCAGAGGTAAAAATGTCAGAGGTAAAAATGTCAGAGGTAAAAATGTCAGAGGTAAAATTGTCAGAGGTAAAAATGTCAGAGGTAAAAATTTCAGAGGTATAAATGTTAGAGGTATAAAATAAAAACAAAATCATGTGGCAAGTTTGTTATGGTTACACCCGGGTTATATATTAGGCTTATCGAAAAAGAACAACGAGGGATATTCTGCAGTCGTTATTTCACTGCTGCTTTATTTTCCACTTTCCCGGTCTAAATTTATTTACCTTTCGGCCCCAAATTGTGACTTTTTAGTTGCCCGATTATTGCCGAAGGACGACGAAGGGGGGGGGGGGTATTCTTCTTCTGGGGGCACGGTGACCCGGCTGCTCTCCCCCTTTCTCTTATATTATGCTTTGCTACATATCCTTCCGAACAGTGGTCAATGCCTAGGCAGAGCAGGCAGACTAATGGGACATAGTTTCTACTCCGAGTTTCGCGCCTTGCAAGCAATCATCAGGCAATTGATAGCATTCTTAAAAGTACATGATTATCCTACAACCTTGGTACAAATACCCCTAAAATAAGACTTAACTAATAAAATACAATTGGAATTACTCATGAGTAATTCTTACTATATTGTATTCAGGTATTGGTTGCAGAGGAATCATGTACTTTGAAGAATGCTATCAGTTGTCTGATGATCGCTTGCAAGGCGTGAAACTCGGAGTAGCAACCATGCATGTCCCATTAGTCTGCCTTATTCAATATTTATACCGATATATTATACTTTTGTAAAAGCAAATGGTACTGGTACACTAAGCAAACTTCTTGGGAAAAAGATTTCTAAAATCGAGAAGTTTGGCCATGTTTTATAGGCTGAGTTGTCGCTCCATGGTGTAATTATTAAATAAAAAGAAAAGTCAGTACAGCCCCTAAAATAGGATCAGATATCTATGAACCTTCCCCCCCCCCCCCCACTTCTCCTTCACTTTTGAAGATTGTTGGACATTTTAACTGCGTGGTAATGACTACTATTATATGTAATTTTCAATAAATACAGATTTCCGACAACTCCACTTTCTTGTGGCCTTGGTATTTTGATACTCTGAAACAAAGCAGAAAGCCATGTTATCAATGCTAACCCATCACATTCCCGAAGTGCGCGCGTTGCAATAAAATATTGTCGATTACTATTGCGGTATAAAATAGTCTTGGAGAAAATCAATAAGCAGCTTTGTTACTCCGATACAAAGCAGAAAGCCGCCCATGTTACATCAATTTAAGAGAAGGTTGAGTTCTTGGGAAAGGTGAACAATAATTTGTGAGCGTTTGTTATCATTCTTATTATGCAAGTGTGGAAGAACATCAAAGAAAAAAGATATTCCCTGAAAATAATCAAATGACTTCATAATTATCCCAGATATGACAAGTAACAGCTTTAAAATGAGGTCCGATTTGAATGCCATATGTTTGTGTAGTCCCATATCAATATCTTTCTGTGTACAGTGCTTGTTACTTTACCAAGACTGGGCTAAAGTTGTTATCATTTTGATGACTCCAAAACCTTGCACTACACACCAATACTTACATGTTTATGCTAGATGATCAACCTTTTCTGATTGCTTCCACACCGTTTCTTTCACAATGCAATCGCAAGACCAGAACTCAACTTTATCTTCTTCTTTTTTTTTAATAGTTTTTTTATTGCTTCAAATCAAAGATATTTACAATCGTTGTTCATTATAACATTCGATCTGCATAACAAATACAATACAATACAATTCAAAGTTAACAAATGAATATGTAAACGAATAATTAGATATCAAATATCAAATCAAATTAAATTAGAGGTCTCCACTTTTGTTTGTGTGTATTCTGTTTTCCTTTTCTGAATGCAATTATATATTCTACTTGTTGAAGAAAATCTAGTTCTTTTGTAAAACGTAAAAACGAAAGATTTTTTTCTTCATACTTTGTTTTATAAATAAAATATTTTGCATAAAATACAATTGTATTTATAAGATGGTGAGTTTTTTCGCCAAAACCAAAACAAATATCTAGGTATGAAAATTTTGAGTGTATACATTTTTTCTTAATAACCAAGCATTTATATCAGACCAAAATTGCTGAATTTTAGAACATGTACAAAACAAATGCAATAAACTTTGTGGTTCTTTTTTACAGAAATTACAGACTGGAGAGTTGTGTATGCCGATTTTATACAAATAATCATTCGTCGCCAAACGACGGTGGATAAATTGAAATTGAAATACACGAATCTTTGTGTCTAGCGTTACCCAGTATACAATTTCAAATCTATTCTGCCATTGAATTAAGTCTCTCAAATTTACATTCAAATCATATGACCATTTTTCACATTGATTCGTATTCAATAAATTTAAACAAAATGTAGACACTAATTTTTCATAACAGGGTTTGGTTACTTTTTTAAATGTAATAAATTTCATATATCCATCTTCTTCTCGTTCTTGTTCTAAATCACCTATTTTCAATATTATTTTCCATTCTTTTTTCATACAAAATAGCAATGCAAAATATTCTAAGTAGCATCCTTGATTCAACTGTAAAATTTCCTGTAACTCCAAAAAAGTTTTGAATGATCCATCTATTTTCATTATATCTTTTACAAACAAAATTCCTTTATCAAACCATTTTTTATACATAATTGTTTTTCCATCTATTTTGATATGAGAGTTATTCCATAGCGATTGATTCATAATATCTTTAAATTTCACGGGGTTGTAGTATCTGTAGTGTGACCAAGCAAAAAGAATATCTTTCCAAAATCCATTTATGCCGCTACAGTTCAAGTCACTTCCTACAAAATTACACAAGAATATATACACTCCACCTATTTGTTTAGTATTGGCATAAAACAACTTTTTCCAATGACCGTCATTTTGTTCGTCCAAAACTCTTTTTACCCATGCAATTTTTAGGGCTTTACAAAAACTCTCTATATGCCTCATTTTTAATCCACTATCGTTCAAATTATTATACATAATACTTCTCTTTATTCGGTCACCTTTATTGTTCCAAATAAATTTAAATAATCTTTTTTGAAGAGTGTCAAAGAACTTTTTGGGTGGGCTAGGAGTGTTACTAAATAAATATACAAACTTTGGAATCACAAGTGTTTTGATTACTGCAATTTTTCCAACTAATGACAAACTCCTATTACTCCAAACATTTAGCAAATTATCAGTTTCTTTAATTTTGTCTTCAAAATTTAAATCATATAGATCAAGTTCATCTGAGACAGGTATTTTTATACCTAAATAAATTAATGAATCAGAAACCCATTTAAATTTCTTATCTATACATAAAGTACCCTGAAAATTACCTAAACGAACGATATTGCTCTTTTCTATGTTTATTTTCAAACCTGATATACTTGCAAATAGTGATAACATATTACAACATTTTTCTAAATTATCCTCGGTCGCTGAT